TTAATAATTTTCCTTTAGTAATACATCTCAGCTATTAAATTTAAAATATTAATAATTGATTACATGTATAACTTAGATTTAAGTCATTTAAATATTGGGTATCTTGATCAAATTGGTTTTAAAAGTCTAAAAAGTTCAACCAATATTTTTTATCACATCATACATTAAGAAAATGCAACCAAAGAGTTAAAATAGTCGACAGGTCGAATCTATATGATGTACCTGCATTTAATATTCCAGACCATAATGTGTATAACATAGAAATTGTAACACATTTGGAAGAGAGAGCGGGAAATTCAAAATGAGAAAGCGAGTGGGAACCTCTATCTATCACTACAATTTTTTTTATTTTTTTAGTAAAATAAAATTATTGTTTTTTTTTTTAATAAGAAAATTACAATGATGAAGCAGAAGAATGTAGTGGATAAATGGACACAGCTGACTAAAATACAATAAATGATGTTTGTAACTCATTGGCTTATCACACATGCCTCAACATGTCATTTCATTGGATTCAACGCAACGGGCACATCACATGATGCCTTTTACCTCATTGTTCCCCAAATACCCCAATTGTTTCTCGGACTTTATCGTGAACAGAGGAAAAAAAAATACAATGATTAATATATATTGTGATTCAATATATTATATGATATATTTATTAAAAAATTATTATTTTTTAATTTAAAATTAAAAATAAATAAATTTAATAATATAATTATGTACACAAAATATAAAAATTAATTGAATTAATTATATTTATATTGTATTTTTAATGATTAAATCAAAAGTATCTCAAAAAATATTTTTCAAAAAAAAATTACATAGCGGCAGTGTTGCGAAAGGCACTGCCTAAGCTCGCTTTGGTGGTACTATGCTGCCCGCCCTGACCTAGGTGGCAGGGTAAAACTGTCCTCATTTCTTTTAGGGTTTTTTAAAAAAAAAAAACACAAAATTAAACTACATTGTTTTATTTTTAAATTTTTTAACAAATAAAAAATAAATAGCGTTAATTGTTCTCAAATGTTAACAAAAAATTTTTAAAAAAAAATCTGAACACCGATGATTCAAGTTTTCTACAACTTCAGTTCTGCTTCTCCTTCACTTTAATTAATTGATTTCAATTATGTTGATTCTAGACTTCTATTAACTTTTGTTGATTAATAGATTTGAGATTTTTAAATGATTTAAAAAAAAAAATTTCCCCAATTTCTTTTGAAAATTTTGGATTTAGAAGTAGCGCATAAATCACCAAGGCAGTTTGGGCGTTACCTAGTCTCTTGATGGAAACTTGCCCCCTAAAGGCACCCAATGCCTTCAATAACACTGCATATAAGGTGAGTCTAGTATGCTTTCTCGAAAAATATTACTCTTTCAAAATTTTATAATGATACTTTGGTATTTATATATTTTAAAACTATAATAAATTAAAGGTAAAAAATAACAATTTTAGTCTTTATTTTTCTTAACATAATTATTTATCATTAACTTTTTTTTCATATCTTTTTTAAGGGAAAAGGTTCCCCTTAATTTTCTTTATGTGGGACTTACTTTCTATCAACTTTTCTTATGTTAATTTCTTATCAAATATAGAAAAATTAACAACTCAACAAAATTCCAATCAAATTTCATTTTCAAATTTATCAATTTTTTCGTATAGCATTTTTCAACCACCTTTTTAATAAAAACTTTTTCAATAAAGTTGATCTCTAACCAAATAGTCCTTAATGTGGGAGTTAGATAGGTCGGAACATGTCACATTATACAAAAATATTTATAAAAGGTTTCAAAACTCAAAATTAGATATCTAGTGTCAAAACATTAAGATATATGAACAAGAATTTGAGAAAAAGGATTTTACTCTAGTACTATGCTATAACTTATTGTCAAATGTTAAAAAAAAAAAAAACTACAAAATAAATTATTAGAATGGGCTAGCGTTTTGTAGTTTAAACTGTAAAATATTAACCATTAAATAAAAGAGGCTTCATTATCGAAAACCTCTCTTTTTATTTTTTGGTATATCAGCTAGCTAATAGGCTATACAATACAAGATTCTCTTCTTTCCAAACCTCTCCCCACTCATCCTAAGAATCCTTCCATAATTTAATGATTACTTCATCTAGTCTAAAATAATAGACTTATTTTATTTTATTTTTTGGATTGAGGATTTCGAGATAATTTTTATTTTCACTTATTTTATCTTAAAAAAAATAAAAAAAATAAACTTTTTTTATAATAAAATAAATAATTAAAATTAAGAGATAATTATAAGATTAAAGTAAGAAAAAAAAAATCATCTACTTTAAAATATAAATATAAAAAATAAGATTATTATTCTAGAATAAATTCAAATTCAAGGAACATTTATTATCATAAGACATCAAAAGTAAGATTTTATAATATTATGAAATTTTAAATTACAAAATACTTGTTTGTTATTAAAAATAATAGAAAATGATAGTATTATCATAGAGTTGGCGCCTTTTGGACCGGTTTAAGCCACAAGTATGTTGGGCAGTAATGTTTGTGATGTCTACATTTCCTTTCTGAGAGCTAAATTATTATCATAATAATGGAGATTCAGTTTTTGAGCAAAACTTGGCAGATTCCTCCTACCATAAGATTCCTGACTACTTGCACAGTTACACCAACTCCGAAACCTATGTTGGATCTTAACCTTATTTTGAATTTCAAAGTGGTCCATCTTCTCCTGCCTACATTAATAAACTATTCTATTGTGACATCAACACCTCACATTATATGATTCATGATTTATTAGAGTGTATGATTTTTTTTTTTTTTTTAACATTGAGGGTGTTTTTAGTTAGTTTTTATGTATTTTAAAATTAATTTTTCTTTAGGTAATTTTATGGGCACACCTCCTATCAACTTATTGTATTTAAAAAATTAATTTTTTTAAGTATTAATTTTAAGATTTGAACCTTGAACTTAACTCATAAAAATGATACTTGTTTACCCGTTCAACTTGAGTCAGCATATATGAGGTGTTTGTTTGATCTAATTCTTTTACAAAAATTGAAGTTGAGCTGAATGTGAGTTTTTACAAACGCCTTCCATATTTTTTTTTTATTTAAAATGCTCCTGATGGTTTTTTCTTTCTTTCTTTTTTTCTTTTTTGTTTTGACCACCGCTCTAAACTTCTTTCTACTATTAAGCTCCTAGATTTAATTTTTTTTATTAATTTTTAATCTTAAATTTTATTTAATTTAAATATTAAGAATAACTAAATAATTGTAACTATTAATCCATATATAGTTAATAAAATAAATAATATATATTATTTAATAATTTAAATAAATCTATAAATAAATATTTTGAAACACCCTTTTTTAAATAAAAACTTTTATAAAATTTAAGTCAAATAAACTTTAACACAATACTTCCAGGAAACGATAGTTTCGCCAAGTTGCTAAATGATAAAACATTGAATGGTTTTTTGCAGGCTTTTTGGTAGGGTCTGGGCTCTTCAGTGGTGAGTCAGATTGTTTCGTTAAGGCCATATGTGCCAGTTTATTTAGATGGCAGAAGTCATGATCGAAAATCCTATATCATTAACCTTGGATGTACCAGACTAAAAAGGACTAAGGCCCTTCATAGGATCACATGCTGATGCTGGGCCTACTACCGTCCAAGAGGCCCAGAAGCCCTATAATTTCTGATTTAAATTAAACAATTTTATTTTATAATTTAAACTATATTCACTTATAAATAAAAACCAGATAAAAGAAAACCCCCAATTACCCAACCTAATTCAATAATTAATATAATACAAACTAATACAGTCTTAATTGCATTACGATTTTTCATTGAAGTGAATAACTTAGGCAAAAATCAACATTTA